CTTTATGTAGCGGGTTTACCAGTTCATGGCTAATTACTCTTCTCTAAAATTGGAGTCTACTTTGTATCGGTTTACAGTTCAGGCTAAATGTTAGGTGGAAATTCTCTATATACATGAATAGACTAAGAGGTCCTGTGGGGGGGGGGGTTACCATACTACAGGATCGGCGACTTCATCCTACTATCCATGGGTTAAAAAATCTGTGTGGGGAGGAAACTGGCCCATAAAAGAGGCACGTCTTATAAATCATGGAAGCGCTTGGTTGTTTTTATTTCCTTTTCATCGATGAAATATATTTTCCGATGAAGAAATTTCATGTCTGCGCCGTATATAAGGCCAAAGGTGAGGTGAGTGAAGTGATAACAGTGTGACTCGCTACTTGTAGGTAATATCACTTCGGGTTTTTTTTCCAGAACACTTTTTTCTAAGTATATGGTTCGTATTAGTGATTTCTAGAGTATTCTTCAGAAACAAGGATCTCTTTTGTAAATTCTTTGTGTCTCACTTAAACATTTCTCTTTTTCTTTCACAAATTACATCCTTTTTTTATCACACAAGCTTTGCCAACGCAGCATACACTAAATACCATATTCATTACCACAAACTGTACAAACTGTCAATAGCAGAACACAATGGCTTCCTCTGCCCAAACAACCAATTCGAAGTGAGTCCTCTGCTTTCCGAAGAGTGAAGTAACAAGCCACAAACCTTAGGAGTCAAGTATTGTTTAATGTTGGGGAGATATACACGCGTGAAGTTGTCTAAGGATTGGGGTTTCGAATCAGCCGTGTGTTTGGCCGTGTAGGGAGAGGGTTCATAACAAGTATACGTCGTGTTTGGGGGATACGATGCGCAAAATTCGATATTTTCAGTCTAAATTTCAGTTTCGGTAAAATGTGCAGATCCCGATTACAAACAAAAGGCTCTAAACAAGCAATACTAAAAGGAAAGAGAGAGAAAAACAACGACCAAATAGAAAATAAGTAGATTATTTTTATATCCTTAAAGAAAGGAAAGGAAAAAGAAAAACAAAACAGAACTGACTGACCATGCGCTGACCAAAAGGATTTGAGGGAGAATTTCTTTCACTTTTTAAAACCTTTCTTGAAGACACGGTATTGCTTCTATTATATTCACATTCTTAAGAGTAAATATATATATATATCTGTATACATATAAAATATCCAGAAAGTTAATAAAGGAAATGAGAGTTAGTACCGCGTGGACTAGAGCATCAACCAGTCGGATGTATTTGGTCACATGTTTTATAACCTATAGATATATAGCTATGCGGAGTTAAATATATTCTGACAAACATATAACGGTCTTCATTCCTATTTACAACGAGGCTGAGATACGAAGTTAGTAGAATACGCCTGGTCGTGAACCGGTAAATAACTTCGACATGACGAGGAGTTTTAGCTCGGAATTAGAAAATGGAGAAGCTTATTTGAGAAAATGGGTAAGTCCCAAACCTTCCAGAGAAAACGGCCAGGCACAGTAACGCGCTGACTATTATAATCTAAATAAACGTTTGGTGACCATTGTGTTGGTTCGCATAATGTCGACGTTCTTTATGCAGTTAATATTTCCAAAAAATATTTTTTTTTACATAGAATTCCCTTATTATAGACGTTGGAAATGCGTGACATTACAGATTCAACTGTTTTAAAAGGAGGCATCCTTACTTTTTCATACATACATAATGTATAGTCGGTATATCATAAATATTATTTATCTCAAGGGATATATATATTATGGAAAATACAATAATATCCAAAACTCATGCCAAAGAGACTTAGACATAACGACATAAACTCCGATGAGGCAAGTCCAAAAATAACAAGGAAAAAAGATTGTATAAACACCACTATAGAGAAGAACGAACTTAAGTTAAAGTGTGTATATATATATATCATGTCCTATGAGGATATCAGGGATGAGGCTGTCCCTTCGTCCGAGTCGTAAGTCGCATGCACGACATAGGGGGGGGGGGGCTGCTGGCACTTCTCTTCCTGTCATATTATCACGAGAAAGTGTCGGGTCGCGGTAGGAAATCCGGGGAGCGGCGCGACGTCCGCTCTGCTGGCCGCCGCTGGGAGGCAGCGGGGCGGGCCCTGGCGAGGCAGCCCATGAGAATATTCTTCTGAATCCCTGACTAAACTAGTGTTGAGAGTAGAAAAGAAAACATTTTACTTTCTCTTTTTGGTACTCGAGAAAGGGAGTTTACTCGAAGACACGATCGTCTTCGCCGTGCCATTGGTCTTGCTGTCCGTCGGCGCCTCCTTCGCGGCTTCCTCGGGCGGCGCCGCCCCCTCCGCCGCCGAGGAGCTTGGGGCAGGAGTCGCCGCCGAGGGCGAGGTGGGGCTTTTCGCGCTGGTGGAGGAGGACGACCCGGAGGCGGAGGCTGACTTGGAGGATTTCTTGGAGGACTTGGTGGAGGATGCGGCTTCCTCTGCAGGCAGCGGAGGCGGCGGCGACGGCGGCAGTCTGCTAAGGGCGTCCTCGGGGTCTTCGTAGCAGTCCGGCACCTTGACCTCCGTGACCTGTGGGGAAAGGGAAGTGAGGTTGCGGAGTGTGAGGGCCCGAGTGTCTGTCGGGGAAGATGTGTGTTCTCGTTTTGCTCTGTACGCGCACGTTTACATTTGGCTTCGTCGTCATTTCAAAATAATAGTTATGAAAACCAGTGAACAGTAAGAGATAAATGACGCTATTTTGACAAACAAATTGCGAGGTATCCCTACCAAAAGGGAATTGTGAGTGAGATTCACCTCCAACACAATATGTATAGAAGGAAAGGGATGGAAAAAAAATATCGTATTGATAGCAATAAGTTTTTTTTGTGAAAAGGAACTAAACGTAATAACGTAAAATAGTTACACAATCGTGATCACATCTACATTCATACAACAAACCCCCATCATCTGACTTGCGTTTAACAAAACAACCTAAATCTATCTGTTGCCTAAAAAAACAATTATGTTGAACATTTGATCCTTCCTTTTCGGTGCACAACTGTCGGTAGATTACGGGAATATTGATATTATCAGAGAAATGCAGTGGCGAGCTGGACACCGGAAATAGGCACTGCGCATTAATTGAAGAGATTTACCTTGACATGAAGCCCTGCACCTGCGGTCTATCTGTTGCATCACCTGGCCTTGTGACGCCACCTGCTGATTCATCTGGACAACAGGTGCTATACGACTCGCCTAGGCTTACGGCTCCCTACCTGCGAACCCCCCCGGCGAGGAGGCCGCCCTACCCGCTGACAGGGCGCGAGGTCCTACGGCTGCCGTCTTACCTGGACGTGCGGCACGACCACCTGGTGGGGCTTGAGGTCCTGCGAGGACACGGCGGTGGGCAGCAGCGGCGACGTGGCGCACACCGCCATGGTGGACAGGTTGGTCACGACGCTGAACTCCTTCTTGGACTCCGACTTGTGGAAGGCCTTCTTGATCTGCGGAGGGGAGGGGAGGGTGAGCATCGAGGGCCTTGGCAAATGCTGGCTGTAATACGCACGTGCAATGCATGGAGAGAATTCCTCTTAGTCATATGAGGCGGGTAGAAGCTCTAATACAGCCTTATGGAAGTCACCATTTCTGTAACTCCATAGTTTATAGAACCTTTGAATCAT